AGGTGAACCCAACCAGAGCCTGCCTCCCTAACCCTATCCTCTAGGGATGAATACGGTACGGAAATATCCCGTACCGAACCGCATCGTTTTGTACATTTAATATGATCGAATTCGTATTTTCGGACAAGTTCGAATTCGGTTCAAAATTTGGAACACCAAATTCGAAATCAGAACGAAAACGATTTAGACATTTTTCCGACCATTTTCTACTTTTCTACTTTTAATTCGAAATATCCCGAATTCGAAATTCGGTTTAAACCAAATTTGGTTCACTAGGAGCCCAATCTTAGAAAAATTGAATCTTTTTCATACGATCTCTGATGAGGACGATTTTTATATGAAAATTGTAGCTCTCGACGAGATCTACAACTTTCTAGTTTTCAGTTTTTTCATTTGAGGTCCTTAAGATGTTCAAAAAATTTAAACAAAATTTCAACACTATATTAAATTGCGTACAAGTGCTTGTTGCCTAGAAAAATCATATCTTCCTTACATGGTGTCGAATGGAGATACTTTTTAAGAAAGTTGTAGGACTTTTTAATTATTATTCACTTGTTAATTGTTATGCACTTGGTCCAACAGGTCAATATTTCGTATACCGATCGTGTTCAAAATAATTTCGCTCGGATTAGTTTGTTTTTAAAATTCTTGATATTTCATAAATTTGTGTTCATTTTCGTGTCCGGTTTTATCGTTTTCGCTTTTGTTTTTTAATTTAAACGTAATAATAGAGAACGGTGGAGAGGTTGTACGACCGTTTCCGACCGTTTTCATCTCTATCTGCCACCAGCCCAGGTCGCTCGCATCCATCGCATCGCTCGCACGGCACGAGGTCGGTCGATAGAGAGAGAGAGAGGAGGCGGAGCGGGCCTCGGGTCTCGGGCCTCCTGGGCTCGCTCGTCTCGTCCGTTTTTTAACGCCACCTCGCGACGCAACCCCAACCCCCACCGCTGCGGTGCGGCAGCATCACCATTCACCACACCACACCACGCCATCAGGAATCGAACGCCACGCCACCACAACTCTCCACCCCCACCCTCGCCGCGAGTTGCTCAGTCGCAGCGAGCGAGGCGAGGAGGGGCCACAGCGCGGGGCGAGGCGAGCGTCCCGCCTGGGCAGCGTCGCGGGTTCGATCCAGGTTCCGGGGCGGGGTGGGACGCGAACGCGAGGGGGAGGGCCAGGGATCTCCACTCTCTCGTCCGTGTGGGAGCGCGGGCGGCGCGCCGGGGCAAATGCGGGTAGCCTCACGGGCGGAGGAGCGCTGACGCGGCGGCGGCGGCCGGGGAGCGATGCAGGCGCCGGAGCAGCAGCAGCAGCACCAGCAGCGGAGGAAGGTGAGGGGCAGGGCTCTCGTCTCGCCGTCTCGTCGTCGTCGGTGGGAGTTTGGTTTCTTTCTCGTGGGGGGTGGTTGGGGTACGGGTGGACGCGCGGTCGTCTGGGTTGGTTGTTAGCGTTTCAGATCGGTTGGCCTGCCGGGTTGGACCTCGCAATACGACGGCAGCTCTGAAATCGTCACGTATTAATATTATGTGATGTGATGTGATGAAATAAAAAGGAGCGTTCTTTGCCTGAAATTTTCCTGGTCCTTTGGATGCGCACGATACTCGTGCCGTTTTTCCTTCTCAATTGTTTCTCGTCATCGCGTAGAGCTACTTGGATTTCAGTTGTGGAGTCGCCACAGTTCAGGTTCGTGCGTTTGCCAAAGAGAAAAAAAATTCGTCTCATTGTTATCCTGGATCGGAAGTTTTCTGAATTACCAAGAGAAGTTTTCTGAATTACCAAGAGGTTCTCTGTTGGATTTGCCAGTGGACGCTTTCTTGATAATATCTGAATTCTCTTCCGGTGTTACGCTTTCTTGTCTAATATCTGAACTCTCTTCCGGCGTTGGGCGACGTCCTCTCTTCTACCCTGAAAGGAAACGGCATCCTTCGCGACTTTTCCAACTGCGTCGAATACAAATTGCTCCTTAAAGGACTGGTTAGGCCTTTTCCCCACACAGCTAATCCGTGATTGCACGCCAGAAAAAGCTGATTCAGTTGGGTCATAGAGGTATCGCAAATGAGGAATTAGATTCGCTGAGTAGTTTGTGTTTATCCTAATCCGATCTGTGGCCTCTCTCGTCTTCTTTTCCTTTGAAGAAAGAAAAAAAATTAATTTGCTCCAGTGGATTAGCTTATCAATATATTCTGTGCCCACTCAGGAGGCATGTTGATTGAGATGGTTGTATGCCTAAGAACTCTCCCTTAAAGAGTCATTCTTCGACTTCTGTGAGTCTTATTTTGTCTTTCACGCTTGACCAGCCCTGCTCTGCTCATTGCTGGAGGCAAAGGAAGGTTTGCGCTGGAGGGTGGTGTAGTGTAACATAAACTACCAGTGCCTAGTTCCTGGTTGTGCCATAATCTTTGTGAGTTAGTTGAACACAGATATGAGTCTGCTCTTTCAGTAGTCCTTTGGGTAGGAATTAGGAAGACAGCTTGACACCCAAGCTTGACATGATCTGGCTTTCTCGTTCACTGTTATCTTGAGCATTCTATTTTATACTTTTGTAAATCTGGTATTCTCATGAAAATTGTTTCTTGCAATTACTAAGGATGGCATGTATTATCTACCCTAGGATCATCCAAGGAACAGTCCAAATTTTCTCTAGTGCTATTCCTTCTGTCCACACTGTCGAAATCTTGGGATCTGACATTGGGTTTAGTTCTTCAAGCAGATTCCACATTTCTACTCAGTTGAATTGGTCCTTCCCATTTAATCACTATAAGTTTATATGTTTTTGTTTATTAGTAGTGCTGTGCTGAACAGAGTTGACTCAGTATGTTAAACTTTGCTCAGGGTTCGTTGGAGATGGACTTCTTCAGTGAATACGGTGATGCTAACAGATACAAAATCCAAGAGGTCGTTGGCAAAGGAAGTTATGGCGTTGTCTGCTCAGCTATTGACCAAAATACCGGTGACAAGGTGGCAATCAAGAAAATACACAATATCTTTGAGCACTTATCTGATGCTGCCCGGATCCTCCGTGAGATCAAACTACTTCGGCTATTACGCCATCCTGATATAGTTGAGATCAAGCATATAATGCTGCCTCCATCAAGGAGGGACTTCAAAGATATCTATGTTGTATTTGAGCTGATGGATACAGACCTCCACCAAGTCATCAAGGCAAATGATGATTTAACCAGAGAGCATCATCAGTTCTTTCTCTATCAGATGCTCCGTGCACTGAAATACATTCATACTGGTATGTTTCTTTTTCCTTTTAGAAATTGATGTCTTAGTTAGATTACAGTTTTTTTTTTTAATCTTTATATGATTGTCATACCTTATACTACAATTTATGTGTCTCGGAATCATTTCTCTTGAAAAATAGTGGGACAAGTACTATTTGCATGGAGGATCGGAGTAGCGTGTTCACACATTAATATCACTTTAGCATTAATCTATTAACTAAAGCTGTTATTGTTGATTGTTTCTGTTCTTCCTATTTAGCCTTTTATTATAAATATATTTGGACACTCATCTCATACTTGGTGCCATCCATTTTTTAGTGGTTGAGCCATCAACAACATTGGTTTCTATGTGCATGCTCATTAGCTACATCTTCCAGAAAAAAACAGAACTGATACATGCATTTTATGTGATTGCAGCTAATGTTTATCATCGTGATTTGAAGCCAAAGAATATATTGGCCAATGCTAACTGTAAACTTAAAATATGTGATTTTGGATTGGCAAGGGTGGCATTCAATGACACTCCTACAACAGTATTCTGGACGGTATGTAAGATACTGCCTCGCAGATTTAACGTAGCACTTTATTTAACAGGATATATTCATACTCTGTTTCACCACTTAATTATAATAATCTGTTTTGCAAAATTTTCAGGATTATGTCGCTACAAGATGGTATAGGGCCCCTGAACTGTGTGGATCTTTCTTCTCTAAGGTAAACAATCCTCACATTCCAGTGTAGGGTCACTTAGCAGTCCTACTTTCAGAGCATTCATTATGGCGGCACTGAGCAAGATGTACTCTGTTTCATACCATATTGTGCTGTTCCGAGCCTCATGCCTTTAACACCCAGTGTTCTATAGCTGACTGTTATTTTGTGTTTCACCTCATCCCATTTCGCTAATTACCAGGCGGCACACTAAAGGATTATTCCTTCCAAATTGTTTGTTCAGAAGCTGCATTTTTCTTCAGAACTTAATATTTCTAGATGGGCTTGCTACCTTTTAGTAGGTATTGCCTTCAGAGAAAATCACAGATTAACTGTGCTAGTGTCTGGTTAGGTGCGGGAATTAGCATTTACAGTAGCCTGCAGTTCTCCTTAGGGACTAATGTTATTTTCAGCTTTATCCTATCCTTTTTCTTTCTTTTTGTGCTGTTCAATTCAGGATCTCATTTCATTGTTCTATGCAGTATTCACCAGCTATTGACATATGGAGTATCGGTTGCATTTTTGCGGAGATCTTAACTGGGAAGCCTTTGTTTCCTGGAAAAAATGTGGTCCACCAGTTGGATTTGATGACTGATCTGTTGGGTACTCCATCACTTGATACAGTTTCCAGAGTATGTATTCTCATTCATGCCTAATGTTCCAAACTAAACTGTTCACAAATGGCAAGCATTGATCCTTTGGCTACTGTAGATTCGGAATGAGAAGGCCAGGAGGTACTTGAGTAGCATGAGGAAAAACAGCCAGTACCATTTTCTGAAAGGTTCCCTAAAGCAGATCCTGCTGCACTCAAACTTCTGCAGAGGCTTTTGGCATTTGATCCCAAGGATAGGCCAACTGCTGAAGAGGCAAGTGTTTGAACTGTAGAATCCAATTCCACATTTTGTACTTGTATTTGCTTAGTGCCCCAGCCATTATTATATCTTAAAATTCACTCAAGTGATGTTTCTTTTGTCATTGATGTACAACCAGGCATTGGCTGATCCATATTTTAAAGGTCTAAAAAAAGAGAGAGAACCATCATGCCAACCAATAACAAAAATGGAGTTCGAGTTTGAGCGAAGAAAGGTGACCAAAGAAGATGTCAAGGAACTTATATTCAGGGAGATCTTGGAGTATCATCCTCAACTTCTCAAGGATTACATGAATGGAACTGAGAAAACAAACTTTCTATATCCAAGGTATAAATTTGCCAGTAACAAAAATTGAGTTTGAATCTTTCGTTTATTTATGTGTATTGCCAACTGCTACATGCCAATGTGTTAACTGTTCCTAATTGTTATTGTGCAGTGCTGTTGACAATTTCCGAAGGCAATTTGCAAACTTGGAGGAAAATGGAGGAAAGAGTGGGGCACACACCGCTTCCTCAGACAGGAAGCATGTTTCGCTCCCAAGGTGACAGATTTTTCTGAGGTCTCATTCTATGATTTAGGCTGCTATGTTCTACTTTTTTTAAAACCTTTTTTTTGCCTGAATAAATTAAATTGGATTCCACAGCTTCCTATTTTTTTGGTAATAAAAAAAATGAATTAGTTTACATTTGCATGTTTAAAAGAACTGATGTTTGATGACCTTGTGATACTGAAATCAGAGGCTTAGCAACCTTACTACTTGTTGGATTATTATTGGCTTATACTACTAATTAGAATTTTAATTGGCTTCTGACCAACTCCCTTCTATTTGCAGGACAACCACAGTTCATTCTAATCCAATCCCTCCAAATGGAACCTCCCAAGTTCCTCAAAAGCTTCCCACAGGTGGTAATTTCTCCTAATGAAATATTATGTTCTTCAGACACCACTAATCTAATATAATGTTATTTTCTGAAAAAAATTCAGCTAGACCAGGAAGAGTGGTTGGTCCAGTAATACCATCTGAGAACGCAACTGCTGTTGATCCATACAGCCAACGTAGGGTGGCGAGGAATCCAGTACTTCCTCCAACCACCTCAAACCTGTCAGCATACGCCTATCACCGGAAATCAGACAACTCAAACAGAGAGCTCCAACAGGAGCTGGAAAAGGACCGCATGCAGTACCAGCCAGCACAGCGGTTCATGGACACCAAGGTAGTATCACAGATGTCCCCTGACTTGAGGTCTTCCTACTACATACCAAAAGGTGTCCCAAAAGTTGATGGCGCAGATAGAGCTGCTTTGCATTCTAGCATGATTCATGGAATCGCCCCTTTTAGTGGCATTGCTGCTGTAGGAGGTGGAGGTGGCTACAACAAGGTCAATGCAGTTCAATATGGAGTTTCTAGGATGTACTAGTTCTGCATTGGCCATCTCCAAAATCCTCAGCAGAGTTGAAGTAATAACATGGCGAAGGGTGAAAAGATGTAGGTACCAAAGAACTGCCATATTGGCTCTGAGCCAAAGATACAAAGCATGGAGTATGGATCTCTGATCTCGGATCAAGGAGGACCTGTGACATCAGATTGAAAAACAAATATTGGGCAACAGTCATGGTTCTGTTCATTGGACCTAGCTTTTCGGAAAGCAATGCCATCACCCCGCGGAAACAGTAAAATAAAAGGAGAAAAAAGGGCAGTGCCGTCAGTTGATTGCTGCTTATAAGAATCAAAGGGGGGCAGAGACGATTATTACAGGGAAAATTATGTACTTTGCAAGGAAGGAAACATGTGGGAATAAAAATAGTGAGCCTACGATTAGCTCTGTATATAAAGTGGACTTGATTTTATGTATTATTACGGCTGGTGAAACCCGCTTCTTTAATTCAAAGTTGTGGAATTTTTGCCTATATAAACTCTGTTAGGCAGTTCAGATTGATACAGAAGTTGGTTTATTTTGTCCTCTTTACCTCTTTTGTTTGTATTACTTTTAGATTAGAAATGAAATTAGCTTGGACATTAAGCCGCCATCGCCCTTTCCCTTTATCCAGTTCCATGTTTCCTTTTCTGATGTTGTCGACTACATTGACCGTCTTGCCTATATAAACTCTGTTAGGCAGTTGAGATTGATACTGAAGTTGGTTTATTTTGTCCTCTTTACCTCTTTTGTTTGTATTACTTTTAGATTAGAAATGAAATTAGCTTGGACATTAAGCCGCCATCTCCCTTTCCCTTTATCCCGTTCCATGTTTCCTTTTCTGATGTTGTCTCAAGACTACATTGACCGTCGACAATATGTCCAGAGTAAATGTTTCTGCATTCCAGGCGAACTACAGGCGCCTAAAGAAGTGTAAACTCAACACCGCCAGCAACAGCGGTGTGAATGTGTGATCTAGCCATCTAGGGAAGGCATGGCGGCGAGGCGGCTGTCGCAGGGGGTGATCGGTGTCTCGGTGAGAGCGAGACTGAGATGTCAACAGGGAATTTGTTGACGCCAATTTGGGTCACACACAGGTAGGAGCTAGATCACCCAAAGGACGCACATGGTCTAGCATGCAGAGGAGGGAGGTCCCAATGGTGAGGCCGACCAGCAGGTTCTTGGCTCGATAAACCTTCTAGGATTGGCAAGGCCACCTAAAACGTCCACAAACTCGTCGAGGTACATGTAGAACAACAAAGGAGTTGGAAGAGATAGGGATAGAAGGTAAAAAAACAAAGGTAAATTGATTGTTGATCGATTGTGTAGTTGGATATCTCAATCGGCCGTGTACCGATATTTTATATGGAGCAGGGGTGCTCTTATCCCGCCGTAAAACCAATGTGGTACTATTTTCATGTCGTTCATAGAGTTTTTCTTGGATTGAGCCAAAACTAGCATGGACCGATTCTAAAACTGGCCTGGGTCCAATTTGAATGTCAATAGAATTCATCGTCGGGGATTAGATTCTCATCTCCGTCTTCACGCGGGAGAAGTTTCTCTATCTCCCTACATGCCAATGTAATTGCGGATAATTTCTTTCGCATCCCTATCCCCACTGGGAATTCATCCCCACAGGGATCCTCCATCGCCGTGCTAAAGTTTATCAATTCTCACAAATTCGATAATTGATCAACAACAAACACCTTAGAAAATCCATCAACTTATATGATTAAAAGATATTAAATTATCAATAGACCTTCATATGTCTAGTACACTATATACTATATAAAAAGGATAGATTGGTATGGTTGATAGAATAGTGCAAGATTACTACACGAAATAGCTTCGCGGGCAGGGACACGAGGAACAGGGACGGCCCCCATCCCTATGAAACCCGATAAGGAGAGTTTTTTTTTCACTTTTCATTCCCTGTGAAGGTTAACTTTTCTCCATCCACATCCTCTAATAGAGGAATTCCCCCTGTAAAATTGAAAAATCAGAGATCGGGTCTCCATTGCCATATCTAGGTGATGGCCTGAAACGTGTTGCCGACTTGCCAGGAATGGAAAGTTTTAAAAGCAATGGGAAGCTACTTTTTAGTTAAATTAGTGATAATACTTCCTCAGCGACATGAGATCCAATTTATTTTCATTACGATTCAACCTAGACTCGAATTGGTCTTTTTAATACCACCCACTGAATTGTGAAGTTTGGAGATGTGCAGGTTGCGGAGATGAGAGAATCTGAATCCCTTGCAGGTAAAGGTGGTTAGCACGCTCTCGCTCAGAAGAGGCTATCAAGGTGCATTATAGGATTATAGAACCCTAAGACTACAATTAAAACACCTATAGAACCCTAAGACTACAATTAAAACACCTAAAAAACCTGCACAGCCACGTTCATAGTCCGTCCCCAGTAGAATTGATGAGCAATTTCATAAAATCGGTTCCCTCGACCTTGTTTATCTGAATCTTGTTCGCATCATCGCATGATGAAACAATACAGCACATCCAAATAATCAAGGAGGCCAAACGGTTACAAACATCATACTGTTGCGAACATTAAACCACATGGAGCAAAATGCAAAGAAACTTTGCATAGATGTTTCTCTCTGTCTTGAAATTCCGACAGCATTCTATGTACAAAGTTGCAAAACAAAATTGAGGATATGTACAGTTCTAAGGAATAGCCGAGCACCAAAACTCTTAATCCTATGAGCCAACCTGCTTTTAAAGAGAAATGTACCACCATGACCAGTTAACATGTCATCTAGGTTCTTCCACTATGTGAGCAAACAAGACTAACCCTATAACTTATTCAAAAACCTTAGCAACTATCTATTATGTTGCCAAACTTCTTGGCAATGATAGGCCGGACATCATCAGCTACAGCAAGGGTCTCTAAGAATGGGATCAATTGAGGTAAAGCCTCGTCAAAGGGATTGCTATACCAACTCTCTATTGGTATACCATTGTTCACTTGCAGCTGGAAAACCTGATAAACACAGAATAATTTAGATGTTTATCAGCTTAAAAATGCCAAGGAACCAATAAATCAAGCATGTGGCACAAAATAAGGCACTAAAACTTTTGAAACACAGCTGTAAGTTCATGACACTTCAAGACCATAAACAATTTCAACTCAATCAAGAACACAAATGAAAAAGAATTACGTTAATTTACCTGTGGAGTGTTGTCAATTATGGCAACCTTGGCAAGGTCGACTCCAACAACAGTCAGATCTTTTGTGTAGCCATTGTCTGTGAACAAACATGATTCCCGGAAGAAACGCTTGGAGAAAAGTTTCTTCTCTGGATCCAGCATGTCAAGCAACTGGTCTGCGTAAACACTTTGACTGGCTGTAAATATCACTACCTCAAACATTTCAACCATCCTTTGGAGGAACATGTGGACATGTGGCCTCTTTTTCACATATACCACATGCTCTTTCATATCATAGAACACAGGAAATGTGAAATCAGCGTCATCACAATGCTCCATAGTTGAATGAACAAGGGTTTCTGCAATAAAGGAAAAGACAATACATTATCCTTAGGGGCATGCAATGAAGTTATCAAAGATACTTCTATCATGCTTAGCTGCATACCATCCAAATCAAGCACAAGAGTGACCTTCCTGGTCCATTGCTCTTTTTTTGCAGGAGCAGCATTTGAATTTAACTCAGCAAAATCAACAAGATCTGGTAAATCCTCCTCCGAAAGATGAGGGTTGAGCCACTCTAATACCTCAGAATTATTAAAGCACAAATCCACCTCAGATGAGCATGGCTTATTATCAACACTGGCTTCCGTGGCACTCTCAATAAGTGGGAATGCTCCACATCTGCTACTCATGTTCATCAATGCATCAATTGATACAAATTCATCACACAATCCAATATAACTAGGCAGAAGATCAGGTGGATTATCAAACAAGTGCGGGAAATCATCATCTGGACTATAAATATCCAGCAGTCTGCAACACTGATTCGAACCCCAGCTTGCCTCATGATCACTAACAACACACAAATTCTGGGCTGAAGAATCTACACCATCATCTGCAAACTCTGTAATAGAAAAATAAATAAATGAATTCACATGCGGATAAATCAAGGAAATATATAACTGACAGTCACTTGTGCTTTGGAAATGGGCGTTACCCTGGGCTAGGTGACCCAAACTCCATTTTTTTCTTTAAAAATAATCTAAAAGAGTCTTGGTTTTTGGTTTTAAGGACCGGGCTTTTGCCCTTCGAGTGCATGGCCAGATCCCTGGGTTGATTGATATTAACTGCTGATGTGCTTCGATGAGCATGGTATATTTGGTGTGCTTACTAAATTTTGAAGTCTAGAAGTATGTTCTCCAGATGCATGAATCAGCTAATATGAGCAGTAAAAAAAATTGTTTTATGCTGGTGACAGAGCTGCAAGCAACTGGTGCAACATGCCAAGTGAAAAAAATTGACCATGAACAAAAACTAATAGATTCATGGGCCTCATGCATAGAACTAGATAAATGGAACAGTGATAAAATAAAAATCAAGATAAGCAGCCATGGCATAATAGCAAACCATTGAGCATACAATATGATTCATCATTCATTACAACAACAAAGCATTTCCTAAGCAAGTTGGGCAACCTACATAACGTGGTTCCTTGTCCAATTTTAGATACCTTGGCAGCAACGACTTCTGAATTTCAGATAGCTTCAGAATGGCAGAATCTATAGCACCATATCATGTATCATGCATTGATTGAACATAAATAATCGAACTCATGGAAGTGAACTAATATCTACTAAACTCCTCTTTATAGAACTGTGTTCCCAGACCCACTTTGATATTTATTGCCAACATACATAATCATTGTACCAGAAAGGGCTGATCCTTACCTTTGCCAACATAATTCACTGCATATAATACAGATTTGTTGTGATCATAATTAGCAGAGGAATCAGCCTCTGAATTTGGTGAATCTATCACTTTGTCGGATGTTAAATCCTGAAAATCAAAAAGGATGATCTTAGATCACAAGAGACGCTGATATGAAGTTTTCACACCCCAAAAGGAAATGAAACAGCAGAAACTACACATAATAATACAGAATGTACCCAGCATTCAACATTAATTTAAATTAAACACTCAACAATGAGAAAGGGAATCCCTATGTTACCGCATAATCATCTATTTACAAGTAGTTGAAGCCAAGGCCATTTTTTATAACAAGCAGAAATGACAATAGCTATATCTTGATCAGTTGTAAATTGTAATTGTTTCATACATTATGTATCATTTCCATCCTTTTTCACAGGTTTTTAACATGGAAATCAAGACTGGGAACTTATCAAGTTGAGAACTTAATGGTGAGAACTAGGATGGATAATGTATTCATGCATTCATTTCGAAATATAAAAATGAAGTGTAATTATGATCATTGACATCAATTTGGACAATAATAAAAGCATGATACTATGGATGTGTATGGAAACATCTAAGCACCTGACTGCAACCAAAGCACATCAATGCGGCAATACTGTGCTAATGTAGTTTGATCCTTAAAGACTGGAACAATGGAGGCAAATATCATAATAAAAAAAATGGAAAATATCCAAAAGAAATTAAGCAGAAGTGCACAGTAAGTTATCACTGTGTTTAATATGAGACTAGATGGCATTGAAGCACCTTGAGCATGGATTTTCCTCCGATAGGATCATGCAAGCCAGAAGCTTCAGTTACCCTAATATCCTGGTCAGCAAGTTGAATGGTTGGATCTGACTCTGCAGATCAAGGAGATGTTGTTAATCCATAAAATATACACATCAACACATGCCTAGTGATGTTGCTAAGAATGCATCATGTAAATATATTGTTCTCAATTAGCGAATTTCACATGGTAACAATTAAACAGAAGAAAACTGTCAAATTTAATGAGATTTTTTTTTGAGGAAAAATTATTAATGAGATTATCAAGCTATACATTGTGTGACCATCGGTGGAGCTTCTAAATGTATCATAAATGATAAATGCATTCCCAGTGGCACAGTATCAAGCATCAAGAAGCCAACAAACAATTGAGTTAATCTAAAGTTGTCCTTGCTAGAAAAGCAAAACAAACTTCATGGAAAACAAAATATCAATCGATCACACTCCAACAAATATAGACAAGTCTATGAACATCCAGTCATCTAACTTTTTATAGAGAAAAAAATCCCATGAGATTACTTACCATCTTGAGGAGCTTTATCTGATGAGTTCAACACAGCTGACTGCTCTAATCCACTGACATGAAAGTGCGAAACTTTCGCGGATTTCACGTTCCTGGTGTTGAACTCATTAGCAAAATCATCACCATCAAACATCCTCTTCATTTTCAGTGCAGGCATCTTGACCAGTGCACTCATTCAGAGAATTGAAGTCCTCTACAGATCCACTAGAAAGTTAAAAAAGAACCTTTTAATTAGTAACAGGACATAAAGATCTAGCACATCAACCACAAGAGAACAACATCATAGCAAATACATGATAACATCCAACATTTTTCACCTATAGCTATACACATTATGTCTTCTTCCTATCCCCATAAAGAACATACTAAGTTTCACAGAAGATCAGAAAGGCCTGGTACAGCAATCACGTACATTTAAAACATGTGAATGGACCTCATAAGATAAAGCAGCAATAGACATCTGATTCGTTATACAAATTTCTATCTATTTATTTATAAAAAAATAGCTTGCCTGGGTGTTCGAGAAAAAAAATAAATTTGTATCTCATGTTTTGCCGTTCTGCAGTATGTAACTCGATACTGTATGCGAAAGTCAGCAGGTCACAATTGAGTAAATACACTTATGCCAAATTGTCTACTTTAAGTTGTAATAACTACGTGCCATGACACTTGTACTTCGTTATCCAACAGCTCATGCAAACAAGGTGATCACAATGATGCATGTGTCACAAACAGGAGTACGAGTATTGCAGCCATCTAACATTTGCAAATCGCATGTTTAAAATGAAACCAACTGCAATCATGAGATCTGAAGTTCTAAGCAACCAAATAACAACACAAGTCTTCACCACTTTAATTACCTAAAACTTGCCCAATAACATCAGTGCAATCAGGGCCAGACTCATGAAGCGAAGGAATATAAACGCCCGAATTTACTATAACCTACCCAAAAGACGCTGCCTTTGAAAAAAAAGTTAGCCTTCTCACACAGTTTCTACTCTTGAATCACATCTTTCTGCAAGTGTTCTGTTGCACACACAAAACTGCCCTCTTTACCAGGTATAAGGGTTGCAACTGCAAAATGGTTCAGTTAGCATACTAAACATCTTAAAATGCACGTGAAGTCACACAACTCTAGTCGTATTAGGCAGAGGTCTAGAAGTAACTTTGCTTTGACAGATGAAAGAAAATCAGGAACTGCGTATAAGCAATGGGAAATCTAGGCCAACTTGTTGTGCCAAGTACTAGATAGACAATAGATAGCAGCTCAATCAGTAGCAAACGCTCTGCAAAAGAAAGGCAGCAAATACCCTAAGTTCCAGCATCAATAACAAGGTGAAATCACGTGAGACAACACAACACAGCAAAATCTGGTAATTTCATGACAGTATAACCATTTCCAACAGACCAACCCCAACTTATACTTTAAGAGACTATTTTCTTGCCAAAACCAATGAAATTTTAGCAAACAAGCCCCGAAAGTTAGTGGCATAAACAGCTAGATCGCTTCAGGGAGGACCAAGTAAAGGATATGGGTGTGCACAGGTACACCCCATAATTTTTTTAACAAAATTGAACTTAGTATGCATGTATGTACTTAGATCAGATCCGAAAACAAATAGTCAAGTAGGTCGGGTTAGGGTTTGGGGGTCGGTTTAGCACAGCAGGAAGAGAAGGATGGTCATACCGGTGGGTGCTCGTCGCCGGCGAAGTCCCGGGCACCTGGCGTAGGCAATTAGTTCGGGTTAGGGTTTGGGTGGTCGGTTTCGCGCAGCAGGACGGGAAGAGAAGGTATGGTCATACCGGTGGGTGCTCGTCGCCGGCAAGGTCCCCGGCGAAGGACCCGGCACCTGGCGGCGGGCGGCGGGCGGCGGGCGGCGGTCGCGCAGTCGTCGGCTCGTCGCCCCACCAGAGAAATAGAGAAGGAGAGAGCGCACGCGGGCGCCGAGAAAGCGGGGTGAACCGTGAGAAACGAGATCCTCTGACATACTCTGCTGTACGCCAGAGGGACATATACGTTTGTGTGCCATGGATCAGACATCCGACGGCAAGAAGCAAGGGACGCCAAAACAGAGCGCACACCGTCGGGCCTCGTGCAGCGACGCGGCCCAGCCCAATGGAAGTGAGGGGGAAACGACGGAAAGACTAGGAAAAGGACGCGTTCGGCGGCGCAGGAATCCATCGCCGGACCGAAGGAGAGCACACTGCTCAGCTCGTCGGCCTTCTGTGTAAGTACTCCATCTTTCTCCTCCTGCCATCCGCATGAATGGCTCACTATAATTGATCGAACTTCCATCAGATTACATCGAATCTGATCGAGCTTCTCTTTTTCTCATGGAAAAAACAGATGATTGATGTTGTCTCTGTACAGCTAAGATTGAAGAAGAGGTTGAAACGCAAGAAGCTAACACAACGCATCATCATGAGTCCACCATGTGAAGTACTTTTGTTTTTTTGTCAATTCTAGGAACAGAGAAGGACCGTATGCAATTCTGTGTTCAAGGTTCAGCATGCAGAAGTATGTTTTTTTTGTAATCAGAGACATGGTTACTTGTTGAGATGAAAACCATGGCTACTCTAGTTCAATTTAAGGTTTTTTGTTGTTGTTTTATATGTGAGCATTCTGGTAGCATGCCACTTATGATGCAAGTCTGTACATATGCTGGCAATATGCAGTAGCCGGAGCAAAAGGATAACACTTCTCAAATTCCACATAGAATTGATTTTGTTTTGCCACATTCTTTTTTTCCTCTAACGTGCACGAGCACGGTATTCGTTAAGCAGGAATAGGAACTACAATGAAAGTATATTTTGAAGTAGCAGTAATCCACTGATTACTGAAGCAACTGTTTGTTTTGCCACATTCAAGTCTCGATCTCTTTTGCCATATTGAATTGACATCAAGAGATCGAGGCAATTATAATATTACATGTTCAAACTGACACAACAAATTAACAATACGTCATCTACATCCACGATCTCAATTTAGTAACAACCCTTCACTTACTCTGAAACAAACATTCAGATAACATTAAGTCCACATGACCTTGTGTCGTGGTGCGGACTTGCCAGAAGTGTTGGTCGGCAGCTTTGTGAGAACAAAGTGAAGATGCTGGTGTTGAATCAAATGCAGTTGAAAGTCGGTAGCGGCGGTGCAGACCTCGACTTCCATAGTTCCATGTCAGCAGTAGCATGGTTCCTGTGAGAGGGTGAACGCGAGGAAGAAGTGGAGCGATGGCCCTGCTCCACCCCTCCTGCGCGCATGCCAGACGGAACTCATTTCACCTGTGAAGAGCTTCTGCCACCGAGCCGCGACCGCCGCCCCCCGGAGACTTGCGAGCTAATAACGACAATGGAGAAAAATATGCCATCAGTTTTTGAACTGGGCCGTTATGGGCCGGCGCACATGGCTACTTATGAGCAAAGGTTGGCCTCTTCCTGGCCCGTCCGATGCGTAATCCACGCTCCAGCTGAACCAATGTCCCTCTGACATAGAGCCGAATATGTTAGAAGATCTCGTTCCGAACCGTTAACGAAAGGAGGGGATGTTTGATTAAGGTCCTCTTCCTATAGTCTAGATTCTAGAAGGCCTCGAGCAGGTGTGAACATTGTCTTCCCTAGTGATATGTTTAAGCATCGCTATCTTGTGGAGTATTATTATGTATTTTCTTAATTCTTTTCTCAAGAATATTTTCCATTTTTGTAATCTAGTTAAATATATATCGATATTTCTATGAGGGGCCGTTTGGATCCCTTCATTTGGAGAAATTGGAATCTACTTAATGGATTACACTATTGGCTTGAAATTTAACATTTCACAACTTTCCCAAGCTCACAAATATGCCTATATCAAATTCATAGGGTGGGAGATGAAAATTGATTCTATAGATCATTATGCTATTATCGGGGTCAGGATACCCCGGGTATCTCGAGGCACCGAATAGTTAGCCGCTCGGGTGGCCCAGATGGCCAAGGCTTAGCAACTGCGGTCCACCAATGCCACGTAGGCCCCGGGTCGGACATCGAGTCATACGGTCCACCGTGACCCCTTCCTTCTTCCTCTGCATGCCTCACAGACGCGCTCGACCTCTCCCCAGTCTTGACCCTTAGGAAAGGACAGGGAGAGGCCGGGTACCATCGAGTACGCCTGCCCTGACAGAGACAGGCATGCTCCGCTCACTCCGCTAGGACGGAGAGGATGGCCATCTCTCAGGACGTGTAATCTCAAGGCAGACACCATCCCTGCACACCCAGCGCAGACAACACCGCGGGGTAGTGGCAACTGGTATGGCACTACACCGTCCAAATTCAGCCCAACAAGATGGATGTATGGCCCCACTCGCTACAGGATGGGTCGCACGACTCTAGCCTTGACTTCGCAAGGCTAACCAGGCCACCGGGAGCCTCGACTCGGTAACCCAGGGTCGAGGTCCATGATGCCATGACCTGGAAGGACGACCAACGACCCGAGAGTAGCCGTATGCTCTCTCATTGTCGCCACAACGCCACCAGGAGAACAGGAGACGGTGACGAAGGCCACGCCGTGCAGGATAGTTGGTGAACCACCGCCATGACAACAGTGTCATCACGACCAGCACTATAGCACCACGTCATGCCATGCCACTGCGTGGGAGCAAGATAACGACGACCATGATGACTACCATGCCCGAACGTGTGATGACACTAGGACAAGACAGGATGGATTGCCGACCAAGTTTACTCGCTTCTCCCTCCCTCGGGCTCTCGACCACTCGAGTCAGGAGAACCCATCTCTCCACTATAACTGTAACACCCCAGGTGTTTGGCTTCCACATTTGCACTGCATTTCATAAACATGAGCATCATGCATCCATTCGTGAACTTATATCACATGAAATATGATTTCGAAACATTGCAACATGTGGTATATTTCATGTGTGTTGTTTCTTTTATGAAATGTAAAGTGTGCAACACTTAAGTGCAACATGTGCCACTCACTTAAGTGAAACAAAGTTAGTTAATACTATGCAACAAGATCATGAAACATGTGAAACATGACTATGAAACAATTGTAACAATTCATGTGTTTTGCATTGTTTCAGTACATACCTTGCTTGATTCTTGTGTGACCAATGTGTGGTGTGACTAATAATTCTCTTAAACAACTTAGTTATACTTAGAATGTCATTAGGGACA